GGGGGGGGGGGGGGGGAGGGCATTGCAGTGTCAAATAGATCGGTTTTTGAAAAAAAAGTTGATGGATCCCCCATCTCCAGGACAACCTGAAGAATGTATGTTTGTTTTTCAATTTTATGGTAATAAATTCATAAAAAAAAATGGTATTAAAACCTTATGAACCTATCACAAGCACTAAATATGGAAGTTTATACCGATCTAGTCATTATTTCAGCATTAGAAGTCCTGGATTACCTCCCTTTATCACATGGCTGCCAGCATTTTGTAATTCACGCTTGGTGATGTGGGTATTTCATATGTAGTTATTGAGTCTAAAATCAATAGATTTGATGATGATGTGTTTCCTTATCAGTTATTATACATAGGACATGGTGAACAAATGTACATGTGAAAGCGCTGCTTGTGTGGTGTGTAAATTTACCCCCCCCCCCCTTCCCCCAGTTCATATCATTGTTGGAAGGTAATCCAGATTCGATCCCTGTAGTCTTTAACTGGTTGTGACAGATTATAGCATTGCTTTAGATGTGATCTCATATCTCGATCAGGAACGTACCTGTATGAGCTGTGTAGTATTATCGCAGCTGCCTATATTTAAGCAATAGTGTACTAGAAGTAATATATATATATAATTCTGATGATGAAGATGATACTGATGATGACAATGATAATGCCATGTGTATTTTATATATGTATATAATAGGTTTGAAGCAGAACTTAATTTATGGTTACATTATATATGAATGTAAATATTTTTTTAATGATAACTGAACCATGTATATGTACCGAGGGGGGGGGGGGGTGTTACTATTTAATACTGTTTACCAAACAACTTCGAGAAAAAAATGAAAAAAGTAATAATAAACACAAAGAGTTATCAATGTTACAGTTAATTAGTACTACATGTCATTGAACACTTTTGATATGACTCCGTTGTTATGTTGGTGGACCTTGCAGGAAAAACAAAATCGTAGGTGAACACATGGTGGGGTCACAAAACAGAAAAGCAAGATGGACATCATTCATTATATATTTAAAATGTAATTACCGAAAAATTGAATTTCATTTATAAATGCACATGTAACAAAGTCTATATTTTTCAAAATTAAAAAATAAAATTCATGCATAGTGAATACAAAGTGTTACTGTAAACATATATATATATAAATAGATAAACTGATAATTTCTGCTGAATTTTAAAATTAAAATCATTTTTTCAATGTTGTTTTTATATCGGTAATACATCTTGTATATTGAAGTACTCAGAAACTGCCTTGTAGTATACATGTATTATTAGTATATAAATACGACCACTGTCTTATATTATTACTGTGTGTTGTAACACTACTAAGGTACACCTACTAATTTTCTTCTTAATTTTATAAAGATTCAGAGAAACGTGTCTTATCCACTCACTAATTAATCTGACATCCCATGTAATCCGACATAATTCAAAATTATACATAGTTTCATTCCAAAGATGATCAGACCTGTATATACCGACATCCCCTCTTTTCAGACCACTTAGTGTTGGATTACACCTGGTTTCATTGGCCAATGCAAAATAACATTGTTTTGAAATTATTGTATTTTTTACCCAGTATATGGTATGCATACAGTTTTATATTGATAGGACTTTTATTAATTGGATCGGGTCTGTAGTAAACAAACAATGGGTTTTTTTCAAGATCAGGATTCATTTTAATATGTATTTTCAGGTCAAGTTTGCTATTTTGAGTGCATGTATTATTAATTTACGAAACAAGAATTCATAAATGCTACATATGTAGGTTTGTCATGAACACAAACAGTAATTGGAAAGAATTTATATAGGCTTGCCTGTTATTCAGTCCATTTGACTATAACATCTGTCAATAAAATTTGTTGAAATGGATTGAAAACTTCTTTTTTAAGCTTTTGAAAACCTCTGTTGTCAAGCTAAGAGTTTAAATGACTGTGTCTCAAATCTAAACTGCTGAAAACAACTCACTTAGCCACAATGTGCCATGTGATGTCAGTAAAGACTTAATTCAGCTGTCAGAATAATATTAGGACATTCCGTCCAAACAACACTTTATTACTATTAAAGTCAGTCAGAGGAATGGTTCATTTTTTTTGACAAAGATCTTTTCAAAAGCTTGAAAATAAGTTCTCAAATACTGTTTGTTCAAAACAAACTTGTACATTGATATCTCACACACTTCCTATACAGAATGACTTGCATCTGTATTTATTGAGGATTATTGTAGGTATAATTAAATGTTGATATTTTTTTTATGTTTTTTTAACCTACATTTTAATACTGTATGGATTTTTTCATTTTTTTTTTTTTTATATGCATTAGTTTTAGATTAAGATTTGCTTTTACTTAGATCAAATTTAATTCCTTTGAAAGTCCAACAATCCTATACTGAACAAATGCATTTTATCATGATAAGCTTATAACTAATAGCTTGCTTATGAATCAAATGTTCCAAAATGCAATGGCATTGCTACATAAGCTACAATGAACATATATCATACTGTTTGCAAGTTATTTAGCTATTTTTAATGCATTAAAACAATAAAAGGATGCTTTAAAGTTATTGTAAATCAGTAGGAGCTCATCTTCAATCTATGTGTAAGGTTGTATTGATTTGTTGATATTATTTCTTTGTTTTGTTTGTAAGTTATGGTATTAAAATTCCTTTTTGTTGTAATCATAACCGTACAGACACATGTATTGGTCATTGAATTAGGCACCTCATTAGAATGAATCTAACGTTGCTCTATTAATAATGATCAAGAATTATGTTTAATACTGTACGATTAAATGTGAAAAACATGTGAACTAGAGTTGTTTCCCTTTCACCCTAGTATGGAACAAACCTTATAATAGTGAATGCCTTTGATGTCGCTTAGACCAGAGACGTATATATATTATACGTCTCTGCTTAGACCAAACAAAAAACAGGTTTTCCCTGTTACATCACTGAAGAAATTAGGGTGTGTGTATGTAGCTATTAAATCAGTTTTCAATCTTTTAATAAGGTTTATATATGAAAGTAATATTGACTTTAAAAGTGCTTCTTTAAAAATTGAAAAAAACCCAGTTTACTTTAGGTATAGGTACATGTACAAAAATGTGGTAGAAGGTAACCGGAAACAAATATTTTTATCTGGCCTTATTATCTTTTTCAAATGTTAAGACTGTGTTTACATGTTCTATCAAGAATACGGTACACTCCACTAACAGTGATGTGTCTAAATGTAAATGGATAAAATACCCTTTTTTTTACTACCGCTGAAAGTTCCTCAATGAGCTCGACTACTGGGCCCGTATTCATGAAACCGTTCTCTTGCTCAAGCCTGAATTTTGTGCTCAAGTCTAATTTCTTGTTCCAGTTATAAATTATTTAAAAAATCTTATTTTGTTAAAGTTTTGGACAAAAATTGAAGAAACTAGAAGCCGAATACTGTTTTCAATATTTAAATTTGACTTTTTGATGGTTGACATGATTTAGGTGGGTTACAAAAAAGCTGGCTTGAGCACAGAATCCATGCTTGAGTATGAGAACGGTTTAATGAATACGGGCCTTGGAAATTAAATGCGTTCATAGAACTATGAATGCAATTTGATCAGCGTCATTTTGAAACTTCTCATCCCGCCTCGATTAACATGAGACAAACGTTAGAATCAAACATTTTGGTGACGTTAGGCTGTTGCAGGAATCTTGATTGCGCTGATGACAAAGACATTTTCAATATCGAAAAAATAAGGGAATATCTACGACTAGGTCATTAATAAGTAAATATTTAGACTGTAGATATAAGGATTGAACAGTTGTTTTCCAATGTTCATGCCGGTTTGAATGCAAATCGTTTACATACACATAAACGAATATGTACCTGCATGAAATTGAAAAAATTGCCATTCAATCCTTATATATATACATATGTACATATGTCTACACGAACCTGTACTTTGTTCGTCATGATCTTCAGACACATTTATTCAACTTTTTCCATGGGCCTAATTAAAATTGAGCGTTATATCGTCAATATATTGGTCAGACATATGATTCAACCATCAATTATAAATTAAACATATTACATGTATTGTATGTAATTGTAATGACAAAGGGATTAGATGGTCAGTGTACATGTACAAA